ATAAATAAATATATATATATTGAGTTTGACTCTTAATTCTAAAAATAGAACCAAAACCATAATTTTTTTTGCAAACCAGAACTAAATCGGGTTTGGTCCAAAACTATTGAATGTATCATTAGTCGTATTTATATAACGTTGTTATAAATGTTAAAAAATTTAATTATAGTACAGAACCGAACGAAACCGAACCGATCCGAACCGAACCGAATGGAACCGAACCCGAACGGTTCCATAATTATATTTGGACCCGACGGTTCCATTTACTAGATATCCGAAAAGTTTGGTTCGGTTCGGTTCTAAAGAGAACCGAACCGAACCGACCCGCGCCCACCCCTATTTTTAATCATGTCTAAAACGTACTAAGGAGTAAAAAATTATATTTAAATTTGTTTGGACAATTTTATGAAAATGTTTTGTCTAACTATAAGAGTAGATAGTCTAAAATAATTCTTAGATGCTTTTCCATAAATACTAAAAGTCTATCAAATCGACCATAAATATGTTTATATTAGGCTTATACATGGGCATTGGGACCCCATTTAGCTTTTTTAAAGGTAAGAAAACCGCACAATTTTTTATAAAATAATATTATACGTAGATTAAAAAAATTATTTTTTTTAACCACACATTTTAAAAAAAATGATTTCAAACATTAAAATTTGAAAAAAAGGAGGCCAAACAGGGGCATATTATTCCCTGTGACTCTGTCCCGGAGCTCATGTTTATAAATATTGAAATAATTTTTTGTTCACGCATTTCAAAAAGTTATAAACAGTACTGTTTGGCTCTTATTTTGTGAAAATAAAAATTGATAAAATAGTGTTTTTTGAAAAATGAGTAGTTGAAAAAGAATGAAAAATTTTCGATTTACGTGTACTATTATTTTATGAAAGATTGTGCTGTTAAAAATATGAAAGAGAAAAATAAAATATAATGGAATGAAAATTAATGAAAGCCAAATGAAGCGTAGTTAATTATTACTTATTTTTATTATTATTCAAAGTTTGTAAACACTTCACACAAAGGTGCTTGTTTGTATAGATTTTCAAATAGAACAGAGTATGGGGAATAATTTTTTTAGGAGAGATTCCTTATCAATACGTGTCATTGATTGATGACATTGATAACCCAATCAAATCAGCTGACTCATACAGAATATAAAAACTTTAAAAATGTCATATACGTACATCCAAAGCTAAAGCTGTTGTGCCATTTTCGGTGGTATCTGCTCACCAGCCACATTTACATGCCCACAACCTTCTAATAGAATAATACAAACGCTCCTCGGGACATAATTCAGTGATGTAAATGACAGGAGTGAGATTATCTCAAATCTTGTTAGCAGTCGCAGTGTGGGAGTTTGATTCTTGAAACATGGAATTGGACTCCTTGTAGGCGCAGTGTACAGATAGCTCTTGGTCACTAGCCTGCTCGAGCACATCCCGCCATTTACCTCCCTCACAAAACTCTAGGAGTGAGGTGGTGGTTGCCCTTAAAGTTGGGGTTCAACCTTTTTTTTGAATAATATAAACAACCATTCTACAGTTACACTTTTTTTCATACATTTTTCACAGCATACACACATACAAGTGGGTGGAGTCCACGATTAAAATAATCGTGAACTCCACCTTTGTGAAGAAGTGTGAAAATTGATGTAAAAAAAATGATATACAAATAGCATTTTTGTAATACAAATTAGGTTAAGGCTCCGTTTGAGCTCTTTTTTTGAAAAAATACATTTTAAATAGTGATTTAACATCATTTCAACATACACTCTTTCAATAAAATAGTATTGTATGTAAATTCAAAATTTTTTCTTATCCTTCAAACACATATTTTCCATCAATACACCATTCAAAAATGCATTTTTATAAAAAGAATGGAGCTCGTGCTAAATTTTATTGGGGAAAATTGTGATGGACTCCCCAACCTTTTGAGGCAATGTGGAAACAAATCTCCAATTTTTAAATTTGAGGTTTTTGCTCCCTTAACCTGTATAAATATGTGAGTTTGGATCTCACATAACAAAATTCATTATTTGACCATTTAAAAGTTCATTTTATGTTAAAAAGAAAAAAGAAAAGGAAAGGAAAGGAAAACAATCATACCATTATGTTTAAACAAAAAAAAAAAAAAAAAAGAGAGAGAGAAAAAAGAAAGGTTTTTCCCCCTTGTACAGGGTTATTTTGTACAAGGGCTGTGGTTCAAAATGAAAATAAACATCGATCAATCCACCTCGCAACCACCACCTTCCAGCAAGAGCCTCCATTTTATTGTGTCATCGCCACTTGCTGCCCTCACAAGCGAAAATCCACCACCCCTTAAAAAATTAAAATTGCCCACTAACGTCGAAAACTAGGGCTTAAACAAAACTCTCGAATCGAACTGGACCCAAATCAAATTGAGCAGTTCTTTTTAAATTAAATACACGAATATGTATCTGAATCTAGAATCAACGAGTTTGGTTTGGTTCTTGGTTCTAGACTAAAGACCTAATTTCCGTAATTTTTAATATTGAATTAGTCAAATTATTTTAATTTATTGTAAGTAAATTTATCAACTAATTAATTCAACCTAAAATGTCTTTTTCCTATTTCATTTGCCAACTAATTAATTTAGCCCAAGCTCAAAATATGATCTTCCTATTTTCAAATTTCCAACTCAAGCCCAATTTAATTAAATTGACCTATAATTTTTCCAAATCTCTCATTTTACCATAGTGCTATTTCTTTCATTCTGGAGAAATCGAACTGAAAGCTTAGCTGCGCCTCTTTTCATCGTTGTGAGCTCGTTACCTTCCTTTTTCTGTGATTTTATTAGTTAAATCTATAACGAACTCAACAAATAGATGCCAAAAATATATCATGAGATTAGATTACATTATTTTGTAACAGTTAAGATTGAACATGTCATTAGTTGAATTAATGTATTATTATTATAGTAAATATTAAATAATTTAATTAATGTACGAAATCAAAGAACTAAATGGAATCGAACTGTATCGAAACGATTTGAACGAAAACCAAACCCGTTTGACTCCATAATTAAATCTGGATCCGATGATTTTATTTACGAAATACTTGAAAATTGGGGTTTAATTCAGTTCAATCGAACCCGAGTTGGACCATGTCCGGCCTTATTGAAAACCACAAACCAAATTGAAAATATACCGTCTCTAACCCCATCCACCTATTAAACAACAACCTCTCATATATTATAGTCACATCTAATGAAAAAAAATTCAAAAGCAATTAGTTATTGGCCTTACCATAGCCTTGAGCTGGATCGTAAACTCAAATCCATCAAAATCTCATAATTCAATATTTTCATTCTTCTAAGTAAAACCCTGAAATAAGTTGAATGCTAAATCAAACCCAAAAATAATCAAATGTTAAATGCTAAGTTAACATGATTTTATCAGTCATAACCTAATATTGAAATTAGTATTGGGTATTTTACATTAATAAAAAGTGCTGAAAATTGTTGAATATATGAAGCACATTGATGAGACGAACAATGTGCTTCACAAGGAAAAGATACCACTTTTAAAGATTGGGAAACTGCTTCCAAATTCACATATCATAGGTTGAAAAATCATAATATAACTTTTAAAGATTTGGGAACTGATTCAAAAGGTTGAGAAGTGCAATCCTAATTTTTCCAATTTTTTGTGTACCGAAATTTCTATTGAGATTTTTTGTTTACTTTGGTTATAAATAAATATCATTGGATCTAAAAGTTTACACCTTTAAAAAAGAGAGAACCTTAAGGTCCTATTACGTTCCTTTTTTTATTATTTTTTCTTTTTTTTTAAATCTTGTTAGATGAACAAACATTTCATAAGCAATTTGAATTTAAATTTTAATTTTTATCTACCACAATAACATATTTGGTATTATATTTAGAAAATCAAAAGCAAATATTGCTTACAAAGTTGGAGTTATTTTCAATTTTGGTTATTTACTTTCAATATTAATTACCTTGCTAGCCTCCGTCTTCTGTCAATCGTACTGTCCTACATGGTGCAATCATTGAATGGGAGAGTCACCACCTCATTGTGTGGCCCACCCTCACCCAATGAAGTGAGGCCATCTCGTCCGGTACGACCTTCTCATCGAAATTTTTCTCTTGTCAATCCCCATTTTTAGGTGCATATGTCACATATTCATATCGTGGTCACCAAATTTTGAAACTTATGGATAAATTTCGCCAGTTGAACTGCACTTTATTTTTGAACACAATTTTTATTTTCAAATTGTAGTCACAACAAAATTAGAATAGATGGTATATGTAATTTGAAAAATGATGACATGCGAGATTGCTGTTAATTTATACTTATCACTACATGGCGAATAACAGGAGCAAAACCCTTGTTTGAGTTACATTATTTTCATAAGAATGTATTTTTTAATAGTGTGTTGATGTGAAATGTGCGGTTAAAAAATAAAAAAAAATTTAAATTTACGTGTAATATTATTTTATTAAAAATATGTGATTGAAATAATGTCAAATCACCATTTAAGAATGTGTTTTTTTGAAAGAACGTAGATCAAACATGGCCTAGCAGAATGACTAATAGTTATGATTATGATAAATTATAAAGTCTAAAGATCTAATTTAAATTTCAATGGAATGTTAATGACCAAGAATATTATCCACTAAATTGGAATTAAAAAAATTCAAAGGCCAACAACATTTTCCGTTTGGAAGTGATTTTAAGAATTGATTTTTTGACCGTTACAAGAAAAGTGGGATCCACATGTGAGAGAAGAAGTTAAATATGATGACTGAAATAATAAAATAACGATAAAAAAATCAATTTTTTGGAGAAAAAAATCGCTCCCAAACATACCCTTAAGTCGTAAAACCGCTATTCGAAGAAGAATAAAGATTAAAGAATCTGTGGGTCCCACGAGGCCACTAGAGGCCGCGGTACAAAAGTCAAATAGATTTCAAGTCCCAAATGGTACCCAATTCGTACGTACTTGCGCTTTATTTCAGAACCAGATTTTTATTCTCAGGTATAAACTCCCCTAGTTATCACAAATTCCATACCCGTAAGGGGAAGGTCTTTTCTCACACTTATGTGTCTCTCTCTCTGAATAAATGCTTAATCTTTAAGTTGATCTAGTTACTTGCATATTCGACTGTATTGATCAAGTTCTATGGACTGGGAATGGCTATGGGAATTCTTGGAGGGTATGATAAAGCCGGTGGCGGCACTGGCGGTGGTGCTGGTAGCGGTGATATTGTCGTATTTTCAGAAGCTTGGTTTGGAAGGTGAAATGGCTTATTCTGTATTCAGGGCTTTTCTTCAACTATCCGTTATTGGGTTTGTTCTGCAGTTTATTTTCACTCAGAAAAATGCTGGATGGATCGTTCTGGCTTATCTTTTCATGGTATATGTGGTCTCTTTCTCTCTGATTTGATTGTTTTTCATCAAGTGATCCTCTCATAGCAGTTATCTGAATCTGAAATTTGAAATCTGAAATCTGGCCAGTAACCTTTGACTTTAAATTTATCATTTTTCATGTATCGTATGAACTGTTAATCAGTTACAATCATTTAATTATTATAGCAGTGCCTTCGAAATTTCCTTAAATAGGAATGAATGAATTGTTTATTATCTGTCACGCCTACTTGCGTTTGAAAATTTTAAGATGATATATGGATATGTTCTTGTTACATGGTCCCTGTTTGGTCAAGATTTAAATCAGATTTTTTTTTTTACGAAAGTTGATTAAATATGTGGTTAAAAAGTCATGAGATCCATGAATTATGTGATTAAAATTTATTGTTGTCTTTGACTTTAATAAAAATCTATATTAAAACCAAACGAGGGCATACTATTCTACACCTGACTTTTCTCAATTTTATTACTCTGATTTCACCCAGAAATTACGCGTATTCTCTAGTAGTTTAAACGTTTAGATAACATAGTTTGGTTAATAGATTGATCGTGAGTACGATCGTTAAAATGTTACTTTCTAGAACCTAATCATATTTGTACACTTTCGCCCTTGATTACGATATTCTTACTGCCGAAGTACATTTATGTTCGTTCTTGTATCGTGGAGCACAAATATTCAAACTAATATAAAAGATTTACAAGGTAACCATTTTTTAGTACAAGAGATGTTAAGACAACGTCGTACTCTTTTTCACCATTATGGTGAAAGAGAATTTTTTTCGCGCTTTGCTCGTTCTTAGAATGATTTCTGATTATTATTCCTCTCTTCGTGCTGTTGCAGGTTTCCGTTGCTGGTTATACAGCAGGTCAACGTGCTAAACATGTACCTCGAGGGAAGTACATTGCAGGGGTGGCCATTCTTGGCGGATCAGCAGTTACCATGTTCATGCTAGTCATTCTAAAGGTCTTCCCTTTCACCCCCCGGTACATAATCCCTATTGCCGGGATGATGGTCGGGAATGCAATGACAGTGACCGGGGTTACAATGAAGAAACTCCGGGATGACATCAAGATACAAATGAATCTGGTAAGTCATGGAGAAAACAGTCTTCAATACAAGCCAATTTTCCCAAGAGTGCTTATTTGTGAACACTTTCCAAACTTTCTACTTATGTTTCTGTAGGTAGAGACAGCACTTGCTCTTGGGGCTACTCCTCGTCAGGCAACTCTGCAGCAGGTGAAGAGGGCACTGATCATTGCGCTTTCTCCGGTCTTGGATAATGCCAAAACTGTAGGCCTAATAAATCTTCCTGGTGCCATGACTGGGCTTATAATGGGAGGAGCTTCTCCTTTGGAAGCCATTCAACTTCAGATTGTGGTAATGAACATGCTAATAGGGGCTTCAACTGTTAGCAGCATTTTGTCGACATACCTCTGTTGGCCAACCTTTTTCACCAAAACTTATCAGCTTGAAACAAATGTATTCTCTCTGGATTGAGGTTTGCGACGTCATATCTAAATTGTGCTGATAACGAACCAAACCGAAAGAGAGAACGTCATTTCGAAGTTGTATTATATATTTCTTTGCGTTTTTACTAAGTAAATCCAGTCCCTTTCGATTAGCCTCACAGAACGGGATAAAAATATTGCAACAAGGATTTTCACCTATTTACCATTGTGATTCTAATTTCAGACCTCATTTTTGAGGAACTAGCGTCTATAAGCACGACGTTTCTCAATAAAGTACTAACAACAATAGGATACACATCCCTTGTTAGCGTATTTGATGCCGGAGAATTATTTAATGGATAATCAAACAAGCTGAGAGCCGTTTCACATGACCAATTGTTGCCAAATGATGTTACTGACAGAATTCTTTGGTGCATTGTAGTTTTGATCTCAATAGAATGAAATTTCAAAGTTAATTGAATCAAAACAAAAAATAACTCGCACAAACTTTCAACACAATGTGTTTTAATATGCCTTCACTAAGGCTCATGGGGACTCACTGCCTCTTGGAGAGCGTCCATTATCGTCATCGTCATCGACGGGGCTCCTGTCATCCCTTGGACTGGGGCTGCATTTCTGCCCATTGCCCTCGTAGGGGCTCTCATCGTACCTCCTAGCAGCTGGGCTATCCAACGCAGGAGGACTTTTGCTTGACTCCTTGGGACTTTGACTATACGTTTCTTGATCTAACACAGATCCCTGTCTCTTGGGACAAGGGCTTCCTCTCTCTTTTGGGCTATCCCTATCAGGTGTCGGGCTGCGTTTCCTTGTCTTGGAGGATGGACTGCGTTTCCTTAGCTTTGGACTTCTGCTGGAGAAAGGACTTCTCGATCTCCTTTCTTCATACTCGGCAACTCGTTTTCTAGAAGGGGACCTTGATGGGCTGGCAACACATACAAGTGAGGAAACAGCAAGAAAAGTAGGGACTCTTCAATACTACATTGTCGGATTATCCATCAAACAATGAGAATCCAACATAAAGACCATTATTTACTAGCAAATGTAACCAGAAAATTTTCTTAACATAGTATTAGAGAATAAAAAATACCAACAATACAAACCTGTAGCTACGGCTTCGGCTGAAACTACGACTCCTACTTCTTCCACGACGAGAACATGATCTCACAGGTGAGCTGGAGCAACGCTCACCACGGCTGTTGTTTCATTATCACATAAGTGAATAAAAAATAAGATACAACTGTACCAAAATATGCTCATGCAAAACAAACAGAGAAAGAGATGCAAAAACTGGTACATCTACCAGCATATGACAAAAGAAATAGAAGATTGTCCACAGAAGTGACTGTAGACTCTTGACGCAAGTACCTGAGCTTCTTAGGACTGTTCTGGCAGTTTCTTTCTATGTGACCTCTTTCCCCACAGCGATAACAAGTATTCTTCCAGTCTCCAGATTTGCAATCTCGAGCCCAGTGACCCTCAATGCCACAATTGAAGCAGCGTCCAGAACCAGGATCCAGACCCCTGCCTGCATTCTCTCTAGCTCCTCCAGGTCCACGCGGCGCCTAAACTCGTGTAATGCAACATTAGTAGGAAATTTTTATAAATCAGAATAGACAAAACCGCTGAAAAGAAATTGACAGGAAGATCATAATCAGAATGACACCTGACCTGTAAAATAACATATACAATTCAGGAAAAGTTCACTAAGAATTGATTGGCCGCCAGAAAGGGGGGCGGGGGAATCCTTCCCATGCATTAGCTAACCCATGTACACAATACATAAACAGTAACAAGTTTTGTTCGTCAACCTCGACTTCGTTCCAAAAAATTCTGAGACCCACTACTCTAGTCTTCAAATAAACATATTCTTAGCAGCAGTATCATTCTAAAGTAAGTGAAGTTTTGCTTTATCATATGCATGTCTATTGACTAGGATGGAAACATATCCAGATTTAACAAGATCACGACACTGACTTGAGAATTTAATTTTCTGGTATTATTTGGTATATTGAACAATTAATTGTAATGCTACAATTGACAACATTGTAAATATACTGGAGGCAATGAGTAGCATAATTTCAAGTGAAACTTGATCTATCCTCTTCCCCCAAAGACAAGTGTAATTGAGACATATGTAATTGAGCTACGAATCAACAAATTCACCTATATTTTATCATTTTAGAACACAAAAAAATTGACCAAACATTCAATTGCGTTTCCAGAGGGAGCTCACTATCCTGAAGTCTAGTTTTTTAATAATTCCAATATCTACATTTAAAGTCTTCACGTTAAGGCAACCATTCCGAACATTGTGACGAGTATTAAATAATAAAGTAGAAGCTAAAATTTTTACTCACTCCCTTGGCAATTTCCACAACAACACGATGTCCATCAACTTCTCTTCCATTCATACTATATCTTGCATCATCAGCATCCCGTGGATCACTAAACTCCTAAGAAATGAGATAGATACACCAAAACAAACAAGGAAACCATAGTTCTGTAATATGACAAATACCACATCTCCTTAATGGATAGATGAGAGAGAGAGAAAATATAATCAAAAGCAAGTAATAGAGAAATGATACATACAACAAAGGCATAATCTTGCTTCATGTCCACATCCCGTACTCTGCGGAAATGGTTTCCAGAAAAGTAATGGTATCATAACTTGCACAAGTACTGGAAGTGTATGAAACTTGCCCCTCAGGACCAACTAAACACCAGTTTGATTATTGCAAATGCCATAGAAACATGTAAAGACAGTATAGAAAGAATCGCCAAAGTCTCCTAATAATTTGCAATATATTCCACCAAGTCAGGCAAAGTCCACCCTCTCACCATTGACCACCAGGTCAGGCAAAGGATCAGAAACCTTCAACACAATCATACAAGTTAAATTCAAATGCACCTATAGCACATTGCTCCATCACAAATAACATGATGAAGAAGATATCCCAGCTAAAGCCATGCTTGGGAAGAAACAATATTCTAACTTGTAGGGAAGACTCGAACTCTACATTGATAGGACTCTTAGTAGGAATACTTGGTAGAAGTACCAACTAAAGCCTCTAGACTTGATATGTTATAGTGAGGTGAAAGTTTAACACTGTAATCATGGTACAACATAGCATTTTCTGAAGAGAAAGTAATATTTGTCAATCAAGAGAGAAGAGTCGCTTTACACTAATAAAGAAAGGACATCTTTCTGAGATTGATTTATTACAGATGACAAAGGTAAGAAAGGACAATAGAAAAACATTTTTGAGAAAAATTGCTCTGAAGGAGACTGAAATTGACACTCCATTAGAAAAGGTCGTTAAAACTCCAGCTACACCTTGGTAACAAATAATGAGTTGAGAAACATCTTCCCCTATGGACTGTTAAAAAGATAAATATCAAGAACAAACTACAGTTATAATATCAAATTCTTTTCTGGGACAAGTATTCAAATGGTAATCCTATGAACAATAACCAGTTAAGCTTGATAAATTGCCATAGAGCTAAACTAAATAATTTGGCACTCGTAAAATGGACAAGGATTGTCATAGGAAATAGCAAATGCAAAATGTGAGGTAGAATAAGCAGTGCCAAAAGATTGCACTGCAAGGCAGTACGCCAGGTGATTCAATTACCTTCCATATCTACTGAAAATGTGATCCAGATCACGAGAACGAGTCCTTCTAGACAAGTGACCAACATAGAGGCGAGTGTTACTGCCATGTCGACGAGACATTTTAGTTCTGCATCATCAAATTGCATCAGCAATTAAAATAATTACAAAAAACATGATGTAGACTGATTTGATCAGATAATGTTTTGAGATAGAATGAAAATGAATAAGAGCAAACAGTAAAGATATAATATCCACAATTCAGATAATAGTAACTTTCACATGTGTGCCACTGTGGACATTTAGATGCACCCAAGACAAAGATCAAAGTTAACTTCATTAACCACCAAGTATTCTCCTGTCAAGATTCCAGAACCCATTCCCTAATGTTATGTATGAAGTGGTCAAGAACTCCACTAACATTTTCAAAATCCAAATAAATAACCTGGGTAAAAGGATAAAAACCCTTGGGCAGTTCAATTCTTTTAAAAAGCTAAAACTTCATGCTAATGCAAGAAAAGACTCGGCTAAATCAATTCCGAATCTGGACACAAACAGACGCATGCTCCATACAAATAAATCGGAATACTGAGAGAATGAGAACTATAAAATTTCCCAATTGATAGAACATAATAGCTTAAACAAAATTAATCCCAGCCATTTGACATTAGGGAAAAAAAAAACCAAAATTCAACCGAATTCAACCTCGCCACCAGTTCGTACGTAATATCGAAGCATATAGAAAAACTCTACAGATTTGAAACGGTTCGCCATTAAAAAAATCATAGATTTATAGCACAGATTCTGTCGACTGTATGCTTCAATTTCCTATTTCGTATATTTTGGAAAATGTAAAAGATTTACCTCGAGCGAATTTCCAAAACGCTGTTGACTCCAACCCTAATTTTTTTAGTTTACAAGTCGCGTTTGTATGTGAAGTCTTTCGTGGACTAACACCAACGAAACAGCTGAATTCGTCGGTCATAACATGTTTCCATAAACAATTGTGATACACACTCTCCCCTCACACAAGGGGCCCACGTTCTTTTTATTGGGTGTAGGCCCCCTCGTGTGAGGAATGTGTACACTGTCAATGTAGGTGTACAAATAACAAAATTCTTCCATAAAATAAGCTTTGGACGAAAAATATGAGTAATGACTTAGCCCATGTTAGACCATAATTATTTTTAATTTTTTTATATACTCGATTTTAACTGTACATTCATACAATAAAATATTCTGCATATAAACTCAAAACTTATTCTTACCTATTAATCAAACATTCTACTAAAAGTCATTATTCAAAATTATATTTTTCCCTAAATAATGATTTTCAAACATACAAATAACATTACTTGTACACAATAATGTACAAATAACATTACTCTTACATGTACATAGATGTGCTGAAATATGGGTGGGTCAAAATTTCTTCAACCAAATAAAAAAAAAAAATCCAATCTCGTTTTTACACCTCATCCGCGTGTAAATCATTATGTAACTCTATTTTGTACAGTAGCATTATTCTATTTTTAACGGATGTGGCAGTGTCGTTTATTCATTGGACATTATGCCTTTTTTTTGAGTCACATTATTTTTCATAAGAATGTATTTTTAAATAGTGTATTCATAAGAAAATGTGTTGTTAGAAAATAAGGAAAAATTTTGAATTTGCGTGTAATATTATTTTATTGAAAAATATGTTGTTAAAATGATGTCAAATAACTGTTTAAGAATATATATCTTTTAAAGAATGTGACTCAAACATGGCCTATAAATTTATAGCAATAGTCCTATTATCACATAAACTGAAATTGAACTCCATTTAGGGATGGACGAGGTCAAATTGGGCCCAATTGACACCGTAATCAGCCAAGACGATTTGGGAATATTGGAGCTCAATTCGATCCTACAAAAATCTGAAACCAAACAAACCTAAATTGAATCGGTTTGGGCTTCTAGTTTGTGAAGAACATTAGTATTACTTAAGCCCTTGTTTGAACCCCATTTTTGCAAGAATGCATTTTTACAATCTTATTTTCAACCACATATTTTTTTATAAAATAATTATACACGTATTTCAAAAAAAAATTCCTTACTTTTTAACTATACATTCTCCAAAAAGCTACTATTCCATAATGAATTTTATCCCAAAAAATGGGAATTAAACAGGGGCTAATTTGACTATGTTTGTGAAGAACAATAATATCTATTGACAAGAAGAAAACAATCTTTTGGTGACTACCTTCAAGATATTGAACAGCAATATCTCTTGCAGCCAAACATGAAACAACATTATTAAAATTCTTCAAATAAATCGATTGATTAGAAGAAGAGAAAAAAATGATGTTTATCTCTATTTACCAATTTTAAAGCGAAAGTCCAATCTCCAAACAAATTGAGAGAAGATGACAGGATTGAGAAACGACTAGAATTACTAACTCATGATAGTATTTTACGAGAGACATAGGAGAAGTGGTGATTAGCAAGTGACGAGGACTAGGGTTCTCCATTTTCTTTTTGAAATGAGACACACGAGAGGCAAAGAGGCAATTGATATTAGGTAATTAGTTTTTTTTTTTTTTTAGATGTTTTGATTTTTAATTTCAATTAAAACTTGAACTTTAAATGAATAAAAAAATTAATAAAAATGAAAGGGTTGGGTTCGATTGAGAATGGCAAGGGAGACGAAATTCCCAAACTCCGTTTATAAATATATTATTTAAATACTGTTTTTACATACAAATATAATTATATAAATAATTTCATTAATAGATCCTCGATGGATTGGAGAATCTTCACACCTTGATCAGTCCTAGGTTCGGGTTGTTCTAATTGGAATGGTGGCTTAACCCTAGATAATTTTATTAAATTGAAATGGTGAAATTGTGCCATTTTGAGCACAAAGAATGTTGTGCTGATTTATATAGCTAAGTATTTCATAATTTTTTAAAATACTCATCAAACACACAAATTTTGACTTAAATGACTAAGGGTATTTATAATTCATATAATCGGTATTCTAGAAGAAAAGATTAATCTAAGCATGAGGTATGAATGAAAAGTCGCACATATAAGGAAGATGTGAAAAAGACGATTAACTTTATTTTTGAGCACCTAATGCGAGCTTAGGTGTGAGGAGTTCGAGTCTCCTTATTTTTCTAACTTTTTATGTTTAAAGTAAAATTAATAATAATAATTGAAAGCAGGAGTGTTACAACGTACTAGCTTCCCTTTACTCCATAGGGCCTTTCATCAATTGCCAAGTTTGGTAGCGCAAAATTGACTAGGCTTCGCCAAAAGGCCTCATCTCTAAAAGCTCGGCTTGCGAAGCGTCCTTGATGTGGTAGGATTCAAAACCTTGCCTCGCTCTTGTGACAATCTTACAAGGCTTAAATCTCCAATCATGAACTGTTTAGAGCAAGTTTGGTTTGTGTTTTATTTTTCACAGTTTATTTTGAAATTGTTAAAAACTTGTTTGTTTGTTATTTTGAGAAATTATTTCTCAACAGAAAATTAAAAAACACTTTTTGTTTGAAAAATTGTTTTATCAAATCTTATTCCATAAAAATTGATTATTCAGCAAAAATAGAATAATTTTATATTAATATATTATTAAATAATATATATTTTAAAGTTGATAGATTTTACAATATTTTTTTCTCTACAAAAGAAAAATAAATAATAAATTGAATTCAAAATACAGAGAATAAAAATAAAATTTAAAAACGTGGACTCAGAATATTTTTATTTATGCTCATTTAATATATTTTCAAATTGTTCAATCATCTACACGTGTTTTATATGAATTTGAGTCCGGTTTTGAGCCGGGCGTAGCATGATTGGAATTCTATTTGCTTCCCCTTCTAATTTTCCAAATTCGTAGTTCTGTCCAGAGTGCTCCGCTCTTCATTCATAGCTTCGGTTCGCTTCGCTTCGTTCGGGTTAGGTTTTTCTTCCTCATCTCTCTGGTGTGCGCGTGATACATATACACACACACACGTTCGTTTCTTACGGGAGTGTGTTTTTGAAATTTAGGGAAACTGGCTTTAACAATTTTCAATTCACGATTCCAATTAATGTCTGAAGCGGTTGAATTAATTGACTTTGAAACCTTTATTTGATTTTTTCAATTAATTCAAGAATTGACGATTGGAGATAGTAAAATACACAATTGTAAAATGAAACCTGCTTTTGTTTGGTACTTGGTTCGTGTCTTGTGCTCGTAAACAATCCTCTATTTAATTTGGTTTTCTACCTTCTAATTTCCCAAATTCGTAGTTCTGTCCAGAGTGCTCCTATTTTCTCGATCGCTACCTGCTCTTCATTCAAAGCTTCGCTTCGTTCGGGTTAGGTTTTTCTTCCTCATCTCTCTGCTGTGCGCGTGATACATACACACACACACACACTCGTTCGTTTCTTACGGGAGTGTGTTTTTGAAATTTAGGGAAACTGGCTTTAACAATTTTCAATTCACGATTCCAATTAATGTCTGAAGCGGTTGAATTAATTGACTTTGAAACCTTTATTTGATTTTTTCAATTAATTCAAGAATTGACGATTGGAGATAGTAAAATACACAATTGTAAAATGAAACCTGCTTTTGTTTGGTACTTGGTTCGTGTCTTGTGCTCGTAAACAATCCTCTATTTAATTTGGTTTTCTACGGACTTTTTTCTGTACTTTTATTAAGCTAATCTAATCAGTGCAACGATTGCACCATTCCTGCTGCCCTATTTTAGTATATAGCTGGTGACTACAACCTTCTTGCGGTGAATTATCTTGTATTTGCCGGCAAATATGTATTATAAGATATGAAGATGAAGGAAACGTATCAAATATACTGTCATGCATATCAAGCTGTATTCAAAAACTTTAAACCTTATCGATCCCGGTTGGATAATATTTTCAGAGCATGTAAAACCCATCCAGACAGCAATACGCATTATAGAATACGCATGTTCAGTAATTCTATGATTGTTTTATGGTTATTTTTTCCACTACAAAAAATAACACTGTGAACTTAAATAAGTGTGAAAAACCCAATTGTATACATGATTAGGCTGTTAAAAACTTAATTGCAGCTTAAAATTATGGATTTTGTTGATAATCTAGGAGAATATAATATACCAATTGGATCTTGCTATATGTACTTCAGGGATTACCTAATAGGTTACATAATGCCGTGCGTCACTTTACCATTTGTTAGTTCAAAACATAGTCAACTTTTTCATCCAACACATCATATTATGTAACCCCTTATGTACAATTTTAATGTACAAGTAGCACAATCCATATCAATTTAGCCACTATGGGCAACCTACGACATTAGTAATATAATTGATTGTGTTGATAAAATTATGAACTTACAATAACATTGATCGGTGGACATGAACTCAATCTTGCAATTATGAAAAACTTGTCAACTTTGAGATTTCTGAAGAGTATCTGTTAATTTTGCTTTTTAGATCATGTAAGTGCATTTATGTTAATAATGTCTTGTATTTGAATATTTTTAGTTTTTTTTCCCATGGATAATTCTGTTGCAGAGTAACTGTGGATTTTGTTTTTATTACTTTATCCCGGATTATGGAGTTTTGCTCCATTATTTCACATGATCAATGGAATACCATTTCCAGTTAGATATTTACTCGTGTTGATTAAATATAAGGGTAAGTTTTGCTGGAATTAATGCAAATCTTGATGTACATTTATTTGCTCTTGAGGATTGTATCTTAGTTTTTTTGTTTATATTTACTCCTGTAATGGTACTTTTGATGACACGTTATTATAAGTTCCAAATCTTTTTTCAGGATCCTTAAAGGGAAGTTCAAGATGCTACAAAATGTTCCACATCAGATTGTGCAATCTCCAGCCAGGCTAGGCCTGCCAAATCCCAATTCACCATCTCTTCAAAACCCGACACCTCCTAAATTCACCTCCCAAAGCTCACCATCTCTCAATCCCCATCAATCCTCAAATCAGTCAAGCGCAACTTATGTTTCCTCAACACTCCTTCCTCTCCTCCCGCCTCTCCCTAGAGCTCAATCTCTTCTCCTACGAATGGGATCTCTTGCCTCGAAACTTTTTGAAGTCTCGCCCAATAGATCTCATTGGCTCAGTGCCTTTCGAGGTTCCCTTCCCTCCTTTTTGTCTTCCCAAACCCAATCCTTGGCACCTACTCCACCAGACTCATCTCCTTCATCCATCAAAGAAATCATTGCCCAGTTCACAGCTCTTCAAACTCAACTCTTTGAAGCAGTCGCTGAACTCCAAGAGATTCTTGATCTTCAAGATGCTAAACTGAAGCTTGCTCGTGACATCTGGTCCAAAGATTCCACGATTCTTGCTTTTGCCAATAAACTTAAAGAGGCTGAGCGAATTCTTGATATTCTTGTAGATGATTATTCTGATTATCGCCGCCCTAAACGATCAAAAGCGATTGAAAATGCAAAAGATTCTTCCACAACTACTGTGGCAACTCAGCTGAAATTATCAGATATATTGTCCTATGCCCACAGGATAAGCTACACAACTTTTGCACCTCCAGAATTCGGTGCTGGACAGGCTCCTCTCCGGGGGGCACTTCCTCCTGCTCCACAAGAGGAGCAGATGCGCGCATCACAGTTATATAACTTTGCCGATCTCGATATTGGTTTATCTAAAACAGATGAAGGTAAAGAGAAAAAAATTGATCCATTCATTGAAACCCCAACTGCACAGCCATCCGAAAGCAATCCACTGGCGAATCTTGCAGCAATTCCGGGTTTGCTTCCTCCAAATATTGTGGTACCATCAGGATGGAAACCTGGGATGCCTGTGGAATTGCCTACTGATCTGCCAATTCTTCCTCCACCTGGGTGGAAGCCTGGTGATCCAGTCGCATTGCCTCCGTTTGATTCCCTTCCGGTTCCACCAAGGGCGGAGGAGCAACAACCAAGATCTATCCCTCCTCCAGGCCTGACAAAGGTACCAGAGTCGATACAAGTCCGGCACGTTCAGCTTGACATTGAGGATGACAGTAGTGATTATAGCAGTGATGTAGCCAGCTCTGACAGTGAAGGTTGAAGCTTGGTTGGATCTCCTCAAGGTTATTGTCTCTTTCATGATGGGTTACATGAGTTCACTTTCGTTCTTTGAACAAAATGAAACCGCATCTTGGTATTACTCTTGCATGTCATTTTGCAACTTCATTTGCAAAATGTTCATTTTCTTTCTATAAGAACTACCAGCAATATTGATTATGGTGATATGTATGTAAAAGTATATATACTTTTTCTACCATCGGATTGTTGCTAGATATTTCTCTCTTTGATTTTTTAACGTTATCACAAGAAAAGGAATAGAGTGCCATCAAGAGACACTAAACAAGCCTGAAATGTCATGATAAACTTTATCAATAATTCTTAAGTCTTTATGATTGATAACGATAAATGTATCTAAATGTTGGAGTCATTCTGCCAAGAAATGGACTGAATGTATTTTTTAGTTTCGTTTTTTGCTATTTAATTTAGCATTTTCCATTAAAGTATCTGCTGTTTATCTTTGTTGTTTTCATGGTATGACTGGGGGATGGAGTTGCTCCCACTAAATTTTGACCAGAAAAACGATAATGCATTCAGTTTTCTCTCTTTGCAGGAGTTCAGGATAGAGGGGAAAATAACACACTACTTTTCTCTGACTATTATTTTCTGCTGGCTTCAATCTCATTATCTTTCTTCATAGATTTTTCTTTGTACTGCTGACTGACTATTAGGCACTCAGTTTTGTTCTAAAATCCCTTAGTCGCAAACTGTGTCATTCGTAGTTGTTGGAATATGGCCTTAGATTCTGCCGAAAATTGGTGTGATCTTGGAATTGAAGTCAAGAAAAGAATTGCCCCACTTAACTATTTTCAGTTAATTCGTTTTTAATTTTAACCTAATTGTTTTGGATATCTCTTCTGCTTTCCCTACTGTTATTTAATTGAACTAAAGACTGAACTTGCTTGCTCTCTGTTCTCACTTGTTAGAGGTCAGTTTTACTGTTTTTGGTTGGAAGATACTAAATAGGTTTGGTATATAGTGTTATCTTGATTAAACTGCCGTTGGTTTTGTGATTTTCGGGGTTGAAGTGTCTTCTCATGAACTTGAGCATTGGAAAGTTCTTGATTTTTGGTTTTGGAGTTCATAAAATCTTCTTTCATATCAAGCCCCTGGCCATTTTTTTTTCTCAAAAACAATGTTTTGAATAGTGACTTTTAGGAGAATGTGTAGTTAAAAAGTAGGAAAAATTTTGAGTTTACGTACAATTGTGTGAATGTATGGTTGAAAATGAGTATATAGAAAAAAATAGTTCAAAAATAATAGTCGTCGAACAGGTGCTAATTGAAAGGTTTTGCTGATGAGGGGTAGTTAACTTTTGCATCTTTCTGAATTTGAGGTTTGAACTTAGTATAGTCAGGCCTCATTTGTGAGCTTCACCCTTTGTTTCTTGAGCTTTTGAATGATTTTCTTGTGCTTAGGCTTCAGCTTACGAAGGTAATGAGAAAATCATTAAAAAAGTAGAACTAGTCTCTGTTATCCGGCACTTAAACAACACCAAAAACGTGATGGGGGGAGAAAATTTCCAACTATTGGATACATTATTTTGATGGTCTTTGAGATCCAGAGGAATCTACGAAGAAGAAAAGGGGAAACGAAAATCAGGGGAGATATGAGCTCAAAGCACCACGGTCTCACTCGAACCAAGTTGGAATCGAGCCCACAATCAAACTGGCAAAATGAGCAATAGCTACAGTTTGAGTCTTGTTAGACCTTGCAAAGGAGTCCGCAAACCTAGCTGGCTATCGGTGAGGCACGAAACGATAGGCGAAGTGAACAAAGAAACGAAAAGGCTCATATAGAGATTGTGAAACCTTTCACCATACATGCTGATTACAGACTATCAATAAGATGCACATGGACAAAGGGATAAAGCGTGATTCATGATCGATTAGTTAGAAGATAGTCAACAAGGAGTCGTTACTTATCATTATGCATAAATGACCAAACTAACCTAACGATTGAAGGGAAATGACCACTCATTTGAAGAAGAATGCGTGCAATTCAAATATCTCCATCTATCCTCTTTAACGAATTTAGAAAGTGAAACTCGTGGTCAGATTATATGATTTGTTAAATGGTTGAACCTCAATCTTGAGGGCTCCCACCATCCCGCCTTCTGAAGCATCGTAAGGGAAGTAAATAACGGAATGTGCCCAGCAGGCCAGATAACAAGAGTTTGTTGATACACTGATATCCACAAAGAGTTTAATTTCATTTCTCAGGAATCGAACCCTCACACTGCGGTTACCAGCAATGCTAAGACTACTTCACTCTTGTCCTTTGCACCACTGGATTATGAGCTTGTTTGGGAGTGATTTTGAGAATTAATTTTTTAACCGTTAGGAGAAAAGTGGGGTCCACCTATGAGAGAAGAAGTCAAATATGATGGCTGGAATAGTAAAATAACGGTTAAAAAATCAATTTTTTGGATGAAAAAATGAGGCCCAAACAGCCCCTATGTCTCGGGGAGCAAGTTATATGATTTGTTAATTGTATTTATATTTGTTCTTTGATTTTAATTATTTTATCAATAAAATTGTTTGGCTCGATTTTTACCTTCAACAAATCTCCAATTGTCGCCAAGGCTATCAAAGCTGTCAGCTTTGGCTGTCACTTTTTCTCCATCTGTTATGATTTAATTAAAGTGCTACTCTACATTTAAAAAATAAAATAAAATAATAAATAAATAAATAAAAAATCCCAATTCACTACAGTGTACACTTTTCTTGTTTGTATAATTTCATTTGAGTCTTTGAAAAGCAATACATACTATTGACGTGAGGGGACGTTATTTGCTTTAAATTTGTTGCCACCAGGTGGGACATTTCTATCCCAGCGATTCAACTTTAAGCAGGTTGATGTTGTATCATTTTCGATTAGATTGCAGTTAATTTTGGAAGTAAAAATACGTTCAAATTAGGGTTTTGTTCAGATTTTTCTATTAATTTCAGAGATTAACAGAAAGTTTGTTAGAGAAAAATATAAGATTATTCTTAGTTAGTTAATTTTGTTTTCAGGTTATTCCGTAGCCAAAATTCGAAAACAGAGACCACGCCAGTATCGGCGCGTGTATATCAACTCCACGCGTCAGGCGGAGGACTCTTCCAACCGGGGTCCAAAACCTAAAGAAGCGTCACCTGTCCAATCAATTTCTCTTTTCACTATTTCGTCACCCTTTTCCATGATTAGGGTCTTGTCACCTTAATTATCGATATGACACAACAACCACAGATCACGCTTCGCCTGTTCGTCACGCGCCACTGTGTATCAATTTAATCTAGGTAAGAAATTTTCCTAGATTTTGACTTAAAATACATTGGTTTTATAATTTGAAGGCTTTCTGTCGTCTATTAGAGCGGGAATTTATTTGCAAGTTCTGGGATAATAACTTCAGGGCGTATGATCGTGCTGCGATTAAGTTCCGTGGGCTTGATGCTGATATCAATTTCAGCGTAGTTGATTATGAAAAAGAACTTAAGCAGGTTTGTTGAATTATATATACTGTCATTACTGTGTACATGTGTATCTAAGTTCATATGGTTGAGTGTACATTTGAACTTATGTGCTGCAGATGAAGAATTTAACAAAGGAAGAATTTGTACACATACTGCGTCGCCAGAGCACTGGGTTTTCTAGAGGAAGTTCGAAGTACAGGGGAGTCACGTTGCACAAATGTGGCCGTTGGGAAGCTCGAATGGGACAACTTCTTGGCAAAAAGTGGGATGCCATTATATTTCTTGAATTTATGAAGAGTCTCTTGTCATAGATCTCGCTCTTTACATTTTGTCATCTTCAGTAGTTCTGTGAACTTTAAATCATTTCAAGTCAAATGCAACTGGTTTATGGGTTTTCATACAATATTTGCCTGCAGGTATATATATCTTGGATTGTTTGACAGTGAGATAGAAGCTGCAAGGTTCCAATGATAAAAAATACTTTTGCTCTTTATTTTGCATAATTTTATCAATCGATGTAGCTTGATGAACATCTGCTGATGTTAATTAGGGCATATGACAAGGCAGCTATAAAATGTAATCGAAGGGAAGCAGTCACTAATTTTGATCCAAGCACATATGAAGAGGAGATTAGCTCTGAGGCCGGTAATGGAGTTAAACATACTGAGTACCTCATAAACTTGTATCTTTGCTGAGATCCCCTTAAACTGAATGTTCTTTGATAATTGACAATTACCCTATGATGTGCCTTTGATATTTGTAGCTGATGGAAACCATAATCTAGATCTGAACTTGGGCATTGCTCCCCCTTGTTCTGCGAGTGGCCAAAATAGGACCATTGGTGCTGATGGCTTCCAAATTCACTGCACCTCATATAGCACCCTGCCAGAAAATAAAGAATGGGTAATTTGAACATTTGTCTCTGTAGAATTTGGTTTATCATGTAATGCTATATAATTGAAGTGAGTGCTTCCTGATTTCCATTTTGACACTTCTTTTGTTGCAGATGCATAACTCTGCTCCAGCCACAATGGAAACAATATTGTCACATGGACATGTAGATGTGCTTGACCATCCTCGCTTCAGGAAGGGAGTGAATTCCAGTTCTTGTCCCATTTATAAGGTATAATCTTAATACTTTTCTCTTGAATAACCCATTTGGCAGCAGATCTCTTTGGTTTTCCTTTACAACTAGTTTTCCTATTTGTTTTCAGTAATCTTTTCTGTTTACATGATGCCGTTACTCTTTAGAGTCGTAGGAGCTGGTGTAGGGTAGCTTGTCAACACAAATTCCGTTCTGTTATTTTGTGCTTAACTTACTGATCTAGCTGAAAGCTGCCACCGACGATCTGCCAATTCTCTATACTACCAAAAACATGCTCAATGTCAGTTGTTATTTTCAACTAGTTTAGCAAAAAAATTTAAAAAATTATGAATTTGTGTGTACAAACTACGTGGTCTATTGCTTAAGTAGGGCATATTATGATATCATCAAGTTTTCATTTGCAGGGGTCAGAAATAGGGAAGAGTAGGGAACTTAATTTTTCCGCAAATTGGGCATGGCAAACACAGAACCCCATTCCAATGATAAAAAATACTTTTGCTCTTTATTTTGCATAATTTTATCAATCGATGTAGCTTGATGAACATCTGCTGATGTTAATTAGGGCATATGACAAGGCAGCTATAAAATGTAATCGAAGGGAAGCAGTCACTAATTTTGATCCAAGCACATATGAAGAGGAGATTAGCTCTGAGGCCGGTAATGGAGTTAAACATACTGAGTACCTCATAAACTTGTATCTTTGCTGAGATCCCCTTAAACTGAATGTTCTTTGATAATTGACAATTACCCTATGATGTGCCTTTGATATTTGTAGCTGATGGAAACCATAATCTAGATCTGAACTTGGGCATTGCTCCCCCTTGTTCTGCGAGTGGCCAAAATAGGACCATTGGTGCTGATGGCTTCCAAATTCACTGCACCTCATATAGCACCCTGCCAGAAAATAAAGAATGGGTAATTTGAACATTTGTCTCTGTAGAATTTGGTTTATCATGTAATGCTATATAATTGAAGTGAGTGCTTCCTGATTTCCATTTTGACACTTCTTTTGTTGCAGATGCATAACTCTGCTCCAGCCACAATGGAAACAATATTGTCACATGGACATGTAGATGTGCTTGACCATCCTCGCTTCAGGAAGGGAGTGAATTCCAGTTCTTGTCCCATTTATAAGGTATAATCTTAATACTTTTCTCTTGAATAACCCATTTGGCAGCAGATCTCTTTGGTTTTCCTTTACAACTAGTTTTCCTATTTGTTTTCAGTAATCTTATCTGTTTACATGATGCCGTTACTCTTTATAGTCGTAGGAGCTGGTGTAGGGTAGCTTGTCAACACAAATTCCGTTCTGTTATTTTGTGCTTAACTTACTGATCTAGCTGAAAGCTGCCACCGACGATCTGCCAATTCTCTAAACTACCAAAAACATGCTCAATGTCAGTTGTTATTTTCAACTAGTTTAGCAAAAAAATTTAAAAAATTATGAATTTGTGTGTACAAACTACGTGGTCTATTGCTTAAGTAGGGCATATTATGATATCATCAAGTTTTCATTTGCAGGGATCAGAAATAGGGAAGAGTAGGGAACTTAATTTTTCCGCAAATTGGGCATGGCAAACACAGAACCCCACTAATAGGGTTCCTGCTGATCCACTCTTCTCTGCTGCAGCATCATCAGGATTCGCTAATTCAAGTATTGCTGCTTCCTCAGCTG